AATTTCGAAAGGATTGATGAATTAATGCAAAAATCGTAATATTTCTCACCTGATATAAAACGAACCATCGTAATTGCCACTTGGCCAAGTCAGCGCTCCTTTTGTGTAAATATCCACTTAACGACTGATCGTAACGAGCTTTCTCCGCGAGCATGGCGAGCTGCGAATCATTCATTCTCACTGCAACATAGAACGAACATCGCACATGAAATGGTACATTACAAGCATCAATTCATAATTAGTACGTTCGGACGCGATGTTTTATAGATGCGTATTATAATATTATAATAATATACATGTATTATAATATTGTCTAGTTATCGTGTTATTGTTCTTCTTTGATAAATTTATTTTCCACGTCAGCAATCGTAACGAGATATTTTGCTTGAAGAGTTCACGAGAAAAAAAGGGAACGAGTTTTAGAATTTCAAATGGACAACAAAAATTTATTTTTCAATACATACGTCACAGTCTGATATTTTCTCAAATAAATGTAAAACTTAGAAAAATTTTATAGGAACTTGAAATTTGTTAAAATTGATATTTTCACATTTTCCTGTGAACCATTCAATTTTATATTTTTTCATACGTAAAACTTAGAAAATTTTAATTTGCATTGCAATACAGTTAATAATAAAAAGCATAGATGAAAATGTATTCAACTCGTTGAACTTCCTTTATTTTTTCGTGAAAAACCCTTCGTTTGAAAAAATCTTCCATCTCGTTTTTCTCGAATATCTCAGTAAACTCCTAATATATTATCGTTAAACAACCTTTGTGCAATTTGAAACTTTTTACTCGTGTTTTTGTAAAAAGTATGGAAGGTAAACAACTGTTGGAAAATATAAATAATGAAAAATGAGTGGTCATTATTTTTTGTATGTTCCATTAAACAATGCTCGTATATTCTGCCACAAATAACACTTGCATGCGGAAGTTCAGCTTCTCTTGAAATGGATGTAAATAGCTTTAAACAACTCGGCGAAATTTATATATCGCGACTAAAATTTTGCATCAATGGGAGCAGCGTTATTCGATGTCACAGATTTAAACTGGCATACGGAATTCGAAATAGTTTATCATTCTTACGCGCCATTTGAATATTTTTGCGCACGCGACATATGAAACTTTGGTAAGTTTACACACGTTCAACTTTGAATATTCAATCACAAACGTTTTCATAAATTTTCAAAGATTATCCAATCGTGAATTCTATATACGCTATATACTAATTCTATATACGCTATATACTAATTCTGTATACTATAATATACGCGTTGTTTGCTATATCTGCAACATTTTATTATTACGATTTAACCTTTTCGAGAAGAATTTTTCTTTCAACAATTATATAATAATTCTAGCTATAATATAATAATAATTAGGTTATTATTTTTAGAATATTTTTGGAAGTAGGATATATTGTTCTCTCAATCTTTTACATTTTACATACTTTACATTTTACTTTTTACATACTATATATACATATAAACTTATCTACACCAAATTTCCAAAAAGTCTTCAAAAAAATTGATGATGTTTTGGGCTCATTTTAAAGATACTGTTTTTCTTCAAAAATGCTACAAATTCAAACGTTTCACAAAACATTGAAAAATTTTTTCCAGGACTAAATCCACCACGAATTTGAAGACTGTACTAAAGTTTTATAATGAGTCTTTAAAATCTATTATATAATTTCTTTTCACTATTTCACTTATCAAAATCTACTATATAATTTCTTTTCACTTATACTCAAAGTTATTAAACTTTGAGTATATTCCAAAATGACAAAAATTCGACAAACTTTTAGAATTTCTCAAATTTTTGTTATCTAACCCTAAAACTTAAAATTGGCGAAGAAAAATTATTCTTTTCTCCTTAGTCTTCTTTTCAGCATTTATGTTTCTAAAGAATAAATAAATAAATAAATAAATAAATAGTTTAAATAATTAAAAATAAATCGACAAAAGATAAAGATCTTTAAATTTCAATTTAAATAATTAACTTAACTGATTTTTCTAATTAACGAGTTATATTCTATTGAAATATTCATCTTTTTATTATTTACTAAAATAATCAGAATCATGTTATGTATCCTTGATCAAATATCACTGTGAAAAGAACTTAAAAAGAATAGAACCAATTGGTGGGAAGGATCTCAAAGTAATTATTTTTGCTGGCGCAAGCAATTCACCGTCTAAATGTTTATAAAGTTCCCGATCCACTTGAAAAGCTTCGAGATTTGTTGCAACTCGACTTCAATTAGGCATAAGTTAAGTGAAAGATTTTGTAACTGGGTAATCAAGTGTGATTTCTAAAGAAGTCATCCATTACCGCAAATAATCGATTTGCTTCTCTGTAAATTACTCTATTTAAAACACGCGATATTTCATTGAATTCACTTTGAAATCAACGTGAAGTATTATTTTTTTTTTAACCCTTTCCAAGCAAGATGAAATTTTGCTATGATCGTGACATTTTCAGTCACATGTACATTCTCATGTGCTTTATATGTGTGATGATATATTTTTTCTGCACATAGAAACAATTATTCATTCCAAACCATTTCATAAAAATATCATTTATGAAACTTTTGAATGTGTGTATTACTATTTATTATATAAAATATACTGACATTAATTGTTAGATACAATACAGATATTGGTCTACAATGATTATATTGGTTAAGTTTAAAATAAATCTTAAAATACGTCACAAAAATATTTAAATATCCAATTATCCAATTATTATTAGTAACTTTTATCTATTATATATGTTATTAATTTATTATGGTATTATGTATTATAAAATATTTTGACATTTTATTAATAGTGAAATCTAACTTTAAATCTAACTTTAAATTATATATAGAAATTGAACAAATTTTAAAAATTATTATATCATTTCGATGTAATTATTTTTTATTTATTAAAAAATTACAACCAAATTTAATAAATTAAAATTTTAACACATTAAAATTATAACAAATTTATACAATACATTATATAATACAAATATTATATTTATATTTTTAATAAACAAATTTATATAAAAGCTTTTTCACTGTATGCAAAAAAATATTCTTCAATTAAGAGAATCTGTTTACGTTCCTGAGAGAAGGCAAACAGACAAAAATTATTTTCCGAACTTAAAAAAATATAGAATTCACGAAAATAAAGAAACGTTGTTGATCATATTTCTGTCATCACAATTTCGATGGATATAAAACAACATTTTTAGCAAAATAAAATTTCGAAGAAAAAAGAAACAGGAATTTCGCACAATAAAATAACGAATTATTTTCTAACAAACAAAAACTGCAAAGCAAAAGTATTTTTTGTTTCGAAAAGCTGATTTCAAATATCAATCAACGTAAAACAAGTAGCGTACGTTCTATGTTAAAAATTCAGCAAAAACAAACTTTTCAGTTGAATCTTCGTGTTGTATCAGACTGACACGTTTTTCTAATATAAATCTGATCACATTTGTGTATAGAAACAAAACGTGGCAGAAAAGTAAGATATAAAAATATAGATGTCTCTACATATCTGGGAGAAAATCAATAAATAAACTACTAAACAGCAATAAAATATAGATAGATATAAAAAAATATAGTACTTATAATTTGCTCTATTTTTTATTTAAATTTCTATTTAAACGAACAAATATCTAAATAATATTTTAAATAAACAAAATTCTATCTAAATAAAATTTCATCAAAAAATTTAATAAAACTTTCAAGTTAAATTAGACTAAATTAAAAAGTAACTTAAAGTTTATTTAATAGATGAGAAGAATTTCTGTTTAAATTCTCATTTAAATAAAATCTTAGGTATTTAAATTTTTATTTAATTATTTCTTTTTTTATCTTATACACATTTTAGTTAAATTTCATGTAAATTCCCGTTATTAATTTTTTAATTAATTATTAACTGTTAAACTTCATTTAAAATAACATTTAGTATTATCAAAATTATTATTAAAATCCGCATGATTTAAATTTCCATTAAATAAAGGCAATCTGAAATAAAAATAATTCGTTTTTCACAGATATTAATCAGACTTAAAAATTGAATTCCTAATAGTGTGAGTTTACATAAATGTTATTCTCATTAAACAAAGAAATTTTTTATTGAAATACTTCTTGAATAATCATGGCACTGCCCATGAACAATTCAATATTCAATGCGATAGATTTGCTTTGAAGATAATAAATATCATGGAACCCGCGATCGAGACGCGATGAATACTTTTGAAAGACGCCATGTATATAAATTGAGTAGAAAATAGTTGCTGTTTCGTTCGCAACTTACCAGATTTTTGCATTTTTGGGCTGAGCATAATCACAGGTTGTTGGAAAAAAACGCTTCCTTCCGACGATCTCCGCAATAAATATTGATTGTCCAGAATACCTTGTATAGAATGCGATGGCGTTTATCGTGCCGTATTTTAGGAACTCCAATTTCTTGAGTCTCTTCAACAAGAGCCTCTCTTCACCGTTCTAAACGACACAAGTAAGAAAAAGAAAGCATTTTTTTGAATAATTGTGAACAACTTTGCATGCACTTTGTTTGTTGTAACAATAAGTTATTCCTCTATTTCTTTTGGTAATTGTGTATACGTATAAACTAATTTGATATGTATACATTTATTTATTTTGATAATTATTTATAAAGATAAGTATATCTCATCAATTGTAATAATCTTGAAATATATTATTAAGGACGTGACTTGAAATCACATAACACGTAACCGTCACTTTCTATTTTAATTTTTAAGTTATTCGCAAAAATACAAGGTGCGTTGGAATAACATGTACAAGCGGGCAGGAGATGATTCCTCACAAAAGTATTGAAAAAAAAAGTAGAGTAAAATTTTTTAATTTAAGGCTTCGTTTTCAAGAAAATCGAATTTAACTAATTCTTTTTAGAGAATTTTAGCTAATTCTCAATGAATGAGAGATAAACAAAACAGAATATCGGTATCTTACTGACGATTTTTTAATGTAATGATAGAAATCTATCCAATACAATAGTAAGTTTATTTCACAATTAGAAATTGCGCATTATGAAGTAAAAGTGTAAAACGAGTAGGAGAGATTTTTTGTAAATAGTTACCCATGTTATAAATAAAGTTAAAAAATGAATAATAATAGGAACATTTCCGTAGTTTAATCTATCGTAGCGAAATTTATCTTCTTGTGATTTGAATTTTATGAGCGCGATGGTACATCTCCGTAACAACTTTTTCTTTTGTATTTTTATTTAAAATAAACTGAAGTAATCGGTATACGTACATTTATTTATACAGAATATTTTCGATGAATTTCTACATGAGAAACAAATTATTTTATTCAATATCAATTGGTTTTCTATGTATATGATATTTCTCACCAAAATATTCAAAAACTCATAAAAACTTTTTATTAATATATTGTACTATTTATTGTACTATGCATTATAACATTTTCATTGGAACAGATTTACAATTACATATAAAAATTACAGGATATTTAATACATGTATTTCATAGAAATTATAAAAATTTAAACGATCTAATATTCAACGGATTTTTAAAACTTAATAAATAGCAAAAAACACTTTTTATTGTACTTAATAAAAAATCTATAATCTCGTCATTATCTGTTTGTCAGTAGCTGTATTTTTTAAAAGTAATAACAACACAGCCCATAGATAAATTTGATGGTTCGATGATGATATATATTTGTTTAATCCATCAGGTGTTTGATTGTTTAGTCGCTAAAATATCATACAAATGAGATCAAAATCTAAATTGTTCAAAATGATTAATTTATTTATTTAAAGTTTAAAGAAATTAATATATTAGAATGAAAAAATATATAAAAATATATATGTTTATCAAAAAGTGTATGTTTAAAAATGAATGCATTCTTAATTTGTTACATATTCCCCATTTCCTATCAAAGTTTTAATCTTTTAATAGTTTTAGTGAGCATTCAAAGGATATATTGTGACACCGACTTCTTTGTTATTTTGTATCTTGATAAGAAAAATATGGATAATTTTTATTCGTAGATAGATTTCTATCCATTCCCTGATCTATTAACATTTAATCATTCTGTGAATGCGAGAAACAAAATATCAAATATTCAGGAAAATAATACATGTAGTAAATATACAGCTTAAAAAATATTATTAAAAAAATGTTTAACTGATATCAGTGAAAACCATAACAATTTATAATTTGAAATTACATAATTTTGAAATTTTTAATTTAACTTAATTTTATTTGTAGTTTGCGAAATATGTGATTTCAGATTTTTAACAATGTAATTAAATAAATTGAATCTAAATAGAAATTTATTCTATCTATTAAACATTATAATTATGCTTTATTATAGATATTTTACATATTTTTGCATTTATGCACTTTTAAATTAATAGATATTTTATATAATATAAATTTTATAATATAAATTATATAAATTATATAAATTTTATATAATATCTGAATATTTTATATAATTTCGCAGTTACACACTTTTAAATTGATAAATATTTTCATGCTTCTACACTTTCACACTTAAATTTTACATAAATAATTATTTGCAATTTATTGCAAATCTCAAACACAGAGAATGTAAAATACAAAATAAAGTTAAATATTTTAAATTTTTGTAAGCGTATCATCTCTAATTTATAATTACATACATCTATCTGTTTTCTGCGTTTAACTATTATTGTCTGTTTCAGCTCTGTATTTCATTTTGTACTAAACAAACATCTACATACATACATACATACATGAATTATTGTTAGTTATGTACATCTACCTAAATTTATCATCTTAAATATCTTCATTTTTTCATACTTTTGGAAATATGAAAAAATTTTATTAACTAAAGTTATTCAGTGCAGAAGAAATCATAACATGTAATAATTTTTTTGTAAGTAGAAGGATGTCGAAGATTTAAAAACCATATTCACTTTTATTTTTTAACTGAAATGATATATTTTTTTCATCGATGCAGCTCGACCTATATTAAAATTATTTAAATCTTAATTTTATGAACACGAGAATACCATCCCTGTCTTTTCTCGTCATCCATGCGATGAATTTTACTAATAATTTTTTTACACGCATTTTAATATATATTTTCTGACATATATTTTGACATACAGTTTAATATTTTTTAATTGAAAATGTCCAGCTGTATCAATTAATGGATAAAAAAAAAACATATTATTGCATCTAAAAAAATGAAAGTGATTTTGAAATTCCTGACATCCCTCTATTTATAGAAAAATTGTTACCGCAATGTTATGATTCCCTCCGTACTAAATAACTTAATAAATTTTTTCAAATCTCCAAAAACAACGGAGATATTTGAGATAGGAAACTTAGGTGGGATCTTGTGCGAATATCTTGTATAATCTTTAAGCAGTATCTAACAAAGATTTCGTTAATTGTACAATATTGTGGATAGTCATATGCATAATCATCAAAAGATAGAAGTTTATTCAAAAAATCGATTTGAAAATTCAAAAAGTTAATTTGAAATTGTTTGAAATTAAATGTTACACGATTACTGAAGGTAAGAGGGAAGAGATATTAAAGATTTCTTAAAGATTTCTTAAAACCATGACCTAAATCGGAAAGAAAAATTGTTAAAAACGAGCAGATAATTCTCATGGCTATGTTATTTTCATTTTCCAACTTTCAGCAAATTAAAGATATATTCTTGGAACGAGACGATTCGCATAGCAAATACATACTACCGAATGGCAACGAGGAAGAAAGAATGAAACTCTTGTTAGCAAGCATTTCAAAAGTGTAACGAGTTACTTTTAATTATGAGTGCGATTAAGTAAGTACTTATAAGTAAGTACTTCAAAAGTCTCAGAACGTATTTTGTTTCCAAATTAAACAAATAAAAAAAATTAAATAATACTTTATACAGTTGTAAAATATAACTTTACACATTTATAAAATATTATAAAAACATATGTAGTATATTATTATAAAATACTGAATATTTAAAATTCAATATAATAATTCATGCAATAAAGAGTTTGTAAAGTGTTAATATATATTAAAAATTGTATTATAAAATACACATGTAATTTAAAAATTTTATTTTATGATAAATGCTGAATATTATTATAAAAATAAGTTTTAAGACTTTTAAATGTATGACAGTACTGAAATTACTAATTCGAATTTCAAAATGGCGTTTGACATTAACATGGACGGAGTGAAAAGTATTCTTAAAGACTTGTAGTTAAACTGATGTTCATGTATTTTTTGAAAATTTGACACGATTACGAAAACAAGATGTAAGAAATATGAAAAAATTCATAATATCATATGAGAATGCAATGTTTTATTTAAAAATTATTCAAATATCTAAAAATATCGTTATAAATTTAGATTAAAATTACAGATTAGTCATGTAAATTACGTTGATTTTATTTCATATATTTATTTATTTATAAAAATATCAGCAGTCATTAGTTGGCAGATTTTAAATCAGAATAAATAGATATAATTAAATAATAATCTTTTTTTCCTATAAGTAAATGAAATGCTGTCCAAAAATCTACAAACTGCATGTAACATATACGAATGTTATACATGCATAATATGTACGGAAAGGAAAGTACGATAATTAAGAGAAAAAAGGCAAGAAATGAAAACGGTGAGAGGACAAAAGGAAACAAAAAAAGAAGAAGAAGAGAGGAAGAAGAAGGTGATTTCGGTGATACGATACCTGTTACTTCTTCCTCGACTGATACTGTTCAACTGATACTGCACCACCTGTTCGTGCTCCAGATTCTCAGTCCCCCCTCCAGCGCCGTTTGCCTTTCTAAATATATACTCCCTCGGCCACGAATGTCCGAGGATGCGGCAGTGGCGGCGGCGGCAGCGGTGGCGATAGCGGTGGCGGTGGCGACAGCGGCAGTGACGGTGATAAGCCGACGATGATGACGACGATGACGTGAAGGCGGATTCGGCGCGAACCGGCGTCTCCCTCGTCGGCTGGAGAAAAAAGTTACCGAAAAGTGATTAAACGGCAATTATTAATCGATTCAGTCCAAGGACGAATGGCAGGAGCAAAATCGGGCTAGGTGACCAGCAGTAAGAGGATGGCTGTTGTACGAACGAGAATGTCAAGAGTGGCCCGGCACTCGACGAAGTATCAGCATTGAGAGTCACGACACGTCTACCCTTATGCATCATCACACGGGTTCACGGGGCTACCTCCTCTCTGCTCTGCCTTTTCTCCAACCCCAGAGGCTGCGCGTTTACCTGTTACTGCGCACACTCCTGGGTGAAAGCCACCCCATACGGTACGGCATGGGCGGATATATTATATATGTATGTGGGCTAATTGGGCTATGAGAAATGAGATCAAGTTCAATACGAGCAATGTCGGAATCACTCTGAATTGATGCACGTTGCAATGTGTTAACTATCCATGGAATTCACTATTGGTTGTTCTTTCCTGTTAAGTTTTCTTT